AAAGGAGAGAGAAAAGGAAAGTAAAAACTGCTCGCCAACTACAGAAGTCCGACTGTACCCTGCAAAAGACATGTAATAAAAAAGGAGAGAGAAAAGGAAAGTAAAAACTGCTCGCCAACTACAGAAGTCCGACTGTACCCTGCAAAAGACATGTAATAATCCATACGCATGTCTGTGATAATACGCAAAACCCTTCTGATGACATTTCATATAGGGGTGAGTGTCAACAAGTGGTCTGTCTTTTCCCCCTCCAGGTGCAGACCACTATATCCACCAAGATTTGGACACGAGCCTAATTTCATGTCATCAGCACATTGAGGATTGTGACATCCAGCTAAATGCATAGGACCGATGAGATTGTCTTGCCTGAAGAGAAAAGTGACAGAACGCAGGAATTGTACATACCTGAAGAGCAAAAAATTTGGTGTTTGTGTTAGCACTGTTTTGCAGGATTGACACAACTCGTGTCCACGAGTCAGGGTGCTCTTGCAACTGCCTCAACACCCTCTCTGCTGCAGACCTCTGTCCCAGGAAAAAGCCCAAACATCAAGGATATCAAAAACCATCAGAACGAGGGAAGTGACAATGCAATTGATTCCATGATCGACACCAACCCATAGCACTTGGGACTATTTGCGCTGCATGTGCTGTAATTGAGCACACAAATGCATTCCTCAAAGTGCAGGTACCCAAGCATGCACTCAAACTGGCCTCCATTCAATCCCATGCGGGGTTACGACTCCACCCCAAAGCTCGAGCACGGTCCCTTTCTCTGGCAAACAAGAAGTACAGAAGGAAAACAAACACTTGGGAGCAGAAAAGCAAGTACAGAAGAACAAGCACACAAACACCAACGGCGGAAAATGGACCACGAAAAGAAGAACACCGCTGTCACTGGTACGTTCTGAAGGACAAAGCTTTCCGCATAATCCCTATGCCCCAAGTACAACTGTAGCCATGTACCAAGCAATAGTGACCGGGATACCCTATTCAGATATCCAGCAACAAAGGTCTTTTGAAAGCTGAAGACCGGTGACCATGAGCTGGCTGCTTGTAAGCCCTAACTAAACATATGCACAAAAGAGAGAGGAGACACCAGCGATTGAATTTATTGATTCGATTTTGCAGGCCAGTCGTCCATTCACTTGTGGGGTGAACTGCACCAAACCCATGCGTGCAAAGGTCCCTCGCTGCCATTACTTCTGAGCAGCCACCCAGTTTGCCCTTAGCCTACAACAGAACTACACCACGCAAACGCAATAATGCTGCACAGACATGAGCACACAAACATGCACCAGAGCAGTGCACATGCGTGGCAAATGAGTTGATCTTCTCCTATCCGCTTTGACGCTACTCTCTATGCTCAGACTATTTACAAATAGCTTCTCAGGGTGCACGCACAACGGCTGCAGACGCAGAGATGCGCACATCAAAGCCAACTGAAAAAAGCGAAACGCACAAGGGACCAAGACATTGTTGCCGATGCCGTTAATTACATCCGGAATTCATACACCCCTAATTTTCAAATTTGCCCTACCATCTTTACGTGAACAGAGCGCCCCTTCATTATCGCTGTACTGGGACTGAAAGGTGCCCCGAATGCAGTTATAATGACCAAGCGTTCTCCGGGCGAAGACGGTAGTCAGAATGCCTTAGAGGCGAATTCCAGACTTGCTCCTGAGAATGAGGACCAAGTGCATGATATGCATCAGCACGTGCAGCCTCTGAAATTTTGTTCTGGAGTTTTCAAAAGAAGGCCACTATTATATCCTTCACCCGATAAAAGGAGTGATTCCACACCATGCTATTCCTCTGCCAACGTGCTAAGTCTCCTACTGTGAGTGCCGTCTAAATGTCCATGGAGCTCTAATCCGGACTAAAGAAGCAGATTCAACCTCTGTGCAGGTACACACTGGAGCTCGATCAGAGAAATCCAGCAGAAGGCTGACACTGACACGATCCCCTGGGCCAGACTGCAACAATGCAATTTGTATCCTTAGAATGCACCATCATGGATGCAAAAAAAACGTTCAGGTCCATGCTTCTCTTTGTGTGAAGCTGTGAACAAAGCAGCAGTGGGGCCTCCTTGCCCCTAAGTTGTGGCCAAACCACTCCAACACCCTTACCACCTTTCCTCCATTCTCCAAGTCCTGTCAGATAAAGGGTGCATTTGTATTCCAGTCAATTTCTGGATCCATTCCAAGGTGGACCCCACCCGTAGAAGGCCCTGTCTTCTCTTTCACCATCAGAACATAGACCTCCCAAAGAACATCATTGCTGCTGATCAGTTTCCAATCCGTCCTCGAGCCCCGGTCAAAGTCTTCCCTCTGCGATGTCAATTGTATCCTCAGCATATACCCAGTGTGCATCAATATTAAGCCAAGCACGGCCATAGACCTGCTGCGTATGTGTCACATCCCCCCCATCTATACCTCTAGAAGGAGATATCCTCAACCTCCAACACACATAGCTTGCCTTTAAATTCTGACAAGCACTGCAGAGCTTCACACGGATAGTACACACAAGACCACCACTACCTCAAGAAGCCGTATTGCATTCTACCATGTGAAGACCCAGACAGAGGCAAGAGTAGTTCCCAAAAAACAGTGCGAAACCATCCCAGTCAACACAGACCCGAAGGAAAAGTGTCTAGCTCAAGCCGAGCTACTGCGAAGTAGTTCCCAGCGTAGACTCACAGTCTACGTGGAGAGCTGAGCATCATCTGACATTGATCGGCCACTACTGCGCAGTATTGTGCCAAAGAGCGGCCGAGGCAATGAGATGGGCACAGACAAGGGAGAACGTGGTCTATATGAGGGTGAAGTGGTGAAGTCGTGAGGGCAGGTGAAGTGGTGAAGTCGTGAGGGCCAGCGAGGCCGAAACGTCAAACACTGGGCCCAGCCTTGCAGTCCGAAACTTGTCGCCACAAGAAAACGAGGCCGAAACGTCAAACACTGGGCCCACCGTTGAAAACTGTATGGGCGATCGCATTTTCGTTTCGCGCTTCGAGAATTTGAGATGCCAGGCCCATGGCCCAGGTGCCCATGTACTGGTGCTTTAAACAAAGGGAGAGATTACAGGAGAGCAGCAAGAGGACAAAGCAGCAGCACAGATCTCAATCAGTACACGACAGGCCTTGTCAACGATCACCGTGTGCATACTTATGCACTCTTGACCTGCATGCAATCCTTCTGGTCTGGGTGAAAACGTGACGTAGCGCAAACTTCAGCTGCACTGGGATAACTCCCATGACAAATGGCCAGGGTGGTCTCTGATTAGGGAGAGAATGGGACAAGAATCGGTGCAAAGATTCGGCCAGAGATGGAGACTGGGCCAGGGATTGGTCTCTGGGCCTGGGCCTGGAATAGATGCAGGGAAGGATAGAGCCAAGGCTCGGGCCAAGGATTAACCCAAGGATCCGATCAATGGGCCCAAGGTCAGGCCCAGGATCCTTCCCATGGATCGGGCTAACCACACGTTCTGGGCCAAAGGATCGGGCACTAGGGGAAGGGCAAGGATTAAACCCACCAAGAATTGGGCTAAGGAGGATCGTTTTAGGGGAGACATTCAGACGCAGCGAAAGTTAAAGACAACAGAGGAAGGCCGTCACCCTTGGGGGGGGGAAAGAAGAAAGAAAGAAAAACCAACAGAGGTTTAAAAGAGAGTAGCATTGGGGGGGATGGTTGGAGGAGGACGCCATGACTTACGTGGACATGGCACAACAGGACGAGGATACGGATGGGGAAACTACATGCTCAGGAAAGACGCAAAGCGACCCCTCTCTCTAATCCGTCAATCGTGGGGGGTTGAACCCCTTTCCCAATTAAGGGGGGTTATTTGGAAGTCGAGACTTAAAAAAGGCTGATGGGAAACGCAGGGCTATACATAGTAACACGCTGAACAGCCTGCACGAAATACAGTTCACCCCATCAAGGCAATCTCACGTAAGCAAACGGCCACACACACACACACACACACACACACACACACACACACACACACACACACACAGATATAGCGTCCTGTTGAGTCGGTGAAACTCAGACGAAACGGTTAGTCACAACCCCTCGTTTGTTGTCCTCTACTCCCTCTCTGCCTACGGTTTACCAGGCAGCTCTGTCACACACACACACAGATATACCGTCCTGTTGAGTCGGTGAAACTCCGACGAAAYGGTTTGTCACAACCCCTCGTTTGTTGTCCTCTTCTCCCTCTCTGCCTACGGTTTACCAGGCAGCTCTGTTTTACGATACATATACATGAATATATATATCGTATATATAGTCAAACAGAGCTGCCCGGTAATCGTCTATATAGTCAAACAGAGCTGCCCGGTAAACCGTAGGCAGAGAGGGAGAAGAGGACAACAAACAGTTTGCCACACCCCTCGTTTGCTGTCCTCCTCTCCCTCCCTCTCTGCCTACGGTTTACCGGGCAGCTCTGTTTGACGATATATATACATTGAATATATATATCGTATACATAGTCAAAAAGAGCTGCCCGGTAAACCGTAGGCAGAGAGGGAGAAGAGGACAACAAACGAGGGGCTATATATGTATGTTGTAACATATCTATGAACTAAAAGAGCGCACTTTGCAAAACAAACGGTTACAAAAAAAAAAACAAGACCAAGATGAGGGGCACACTGAAACCATTCATTTTTCTCATTCTTCTTTCAACTCTCCCCCCCCCACAACCCCCCCCTCACTCTGCCTCTCACGTACAACGCTCGCCACGTTGACGAAGTTGAGTGCAACCGTCTTCCCCCAAACATAACGCACCCTAATAATGAATGTATACAGACTATCTTTCCGTCCCGATGCAGTCGAAATGATGGTGCGTTGTGTTCGGGGGAAGACGGTAGCTGCCCACATCCCCGTGTGGCATAACGGCCCAAATGTACGCTGTGAGAAAGGGGGAGAGGATAAACACAGGGAAGAGAGATGGAGAGAAGACAAACAAAGAATGACAAAGGGAAAGTAAGCGAAAGTACAGAGTGTGGAAAGAAGATGAGTCAAAGGAGATCATAAGAAAAGGTTCAAGAATGATTATGGCCTTGACGACAGAGAGGACATACATTGTAAGGATGAGCTGGATGAACACATGGAAGACCTAGTTGTGCATATATATAGCGTTCAGTCTCCTGATGAGTCGGTGAAACTCCGACGAAACAGTTTGTCACAGCCCCTCGTTTCTTGTCCTCTTCTGCCTCCCTCTCTGCCTACGGTTTACCGGGCAGCTCTGTTTGCCACATATATACCACGACTTCGATAGCACCCTGCTACGGTTTTCTCCGGTCATACCCTGCTATGAGGGGGTGTGAACCTCAGTCTGTACCATCTGGTGTGGGTGAGTGATAGCCTGCTTTGATTTTCGTCACAGGTACCTCGAGGACAGTGGTTGGTGGTCCCCACCACCTCAGAGGGGTATCAGTTGTTCGGCAGTCGTTGCTGCTTAACCACAACCGGGGTTAAGGTGGAATACGTGGAGTAGCTAACCCTTACTCCACCCCTTCGGGCGCCACGTGTCACCGCTCTCCCTTACCTTCTTATCTTATACCTTAACTTATACCTTATCTTATACCTTATCTTATACCTTATCTTATACCTCACCTTATCCCTTAATCAATTACCTACCAAAGAACAGAGATAAGGGGAAAAAAAAGAAAA